ACACCCAATAGGAACCTTGCCTTTTGGAAGTGGAACCAAATCCCAAGTGTGGTTATCTTGTAGAGCCTGCAGTTCAGCCTGTATGGCTTCCAACCATCTAGGATCTAACATTGCTTCCTTATAGGAAGATGGTTCAACTACAGCAGAAAAAACTTGCAAATATTTCTTGTAGGAAGAGGACAAATTGTTGTAGGATATAGAAGTTGTAAGAGGATATAGAACTGTACTAGCTGAAGGTTTAGAAACATATTCAGATAACCAAAGAGGTTGCTTAGAAATCCTAGCAAACCTCCTAAGTTGAGGAATGGAAGAGGTAGGAGAAATAGGAGGGACAATAGGTAGAGTAGGCACAGGATCAATTGGAGGATCTAAGGTAGGAGGAGATGAAGGTAAAAAGTCAGGAATAGGATCAGAATGGTTAGAAAGAAAATCATTGAGTAGAAATGACTCAGGAAAAGAAGAAGATATATGTGAAATAGGATCAGCAGCAGCGTGAGATAAATGTAGAAAAGGATAATGATCTTCATGAAAAATGACATCTCTATTCACAAAGAACTTTTGTTGTGCAAGATCAAAACAAATGTAACCCTTGGTGACAGAAGAATAACCCATAAACATTGACTTAACTGCTCTAGGGGCAAACTTATCAGTCCTAGGCAATGTACTTGCAAAACATAAGCAGCCAAGTGTTCTGAGATGAGTAAGGCATGGTTTCTTTCCAAAAAAGACCTCCCATTTAAAGTCTGAGAAGGAAGTCGGTTAATGATATAAGCTGTTGTAAGATCACAATGGCCCCAGAACTTGATAGGAAGATGGCCTTGAAACCTTAAAGCCCTAGCAACTTCAAGAAGATGTTTGTGCTTCCTTTCAGCCACCCCATTTTGTTGAGGGGTGTGAGCACATGTTCTATAATGAATTATACCCAATTCTTTAAACAAATCTTGTAGAGAACCATTCACAAATTCACCACCATTGTCTATCCTAACACCTTTAACATTGGTCTTAAACTGAGTGACAACCATTGTGAAGAAGTGTTTAAGAGTCATTAAGACATCACTCTTGAACTTTAACAAGAAAACCCATACAGTTCTGGAAAAATCATCAACAATAGTAAGGAAAAATTTATTTCCATCAAATGTTGGAGTATTATAAGGACCCCATACATCTATATGCAATAAAGCAAACACTTCAGAAGACCTAGTGTTACTACTAGGGAAAGGCAGTCTAGTGTGCCTAGCTAGAGGACATATTTCACAATTGTTCAAAGCCATTTTACAATCATTAACATTATAGCCTAACAAGTCTTTCATAGATCCTATTGAAGCATGGGCAAGTCTTCTATGCCACAGCAAAATCTCATTTCTGTCATCATGTGCAACAAAACTCTGAACAATAGAAGGTTTCTGTGAATGAACCAGATAGTACAGCCCATCATCTTCCTTACCAATCCCCTTCAGTTTCCCACTGGAAAGGTCCTGGAATAGACAAAATCCAGGATAGAATAAAACAAAGCAATTGAGTTCTTTTGTAACTTTTGATATAGATAAAAGATTATGGTGAAAATCTGGCACAAACAAAACATCCTGCAATTCTCCTGTGTCTGCAAACTTACAGCTCCCAGTATGAGTTACCAAAGTATTCTCTCCGTTAGGCAAATGTACTTTCCTATTTTGTGTATTCTTAACAGGTTGTACATCATGTAATACATCTAAACTAGAGATCATGTGGTTAGTTGCACCACTATCAATTATCCATCTCAAATTTGCAATTTTAGACATAGGAGTATGGACCATACCTGCCATGTTTGCCATTACATGAGCAGTAGAAATATTACCATCAAACATCTGCATTACTTGACCATGCTGATCAACAGTCATCTGAGGTGCCCGTGGTAGATCTTTGGGAACTAGTTGATCCATGGTTTTGTCTCTCAAACCTGAGCTCGTAGAGGGTGAATTATCAGTCTGCACATTATAGGCATTATTGCCACATCCCTTCTTCTTGAATTTCCAGTTAGGTGGGTAACCATGAAGTCTAAAACAATTATCTTCGACATGACCCTGTATTTTATAGTAATCACATTTCAGATCCCAATTTTTCTTTCCTTTACTGTAATACTGTGAAGACTGTGGGGATGGAGAACCCTTGTTATAACGAGGAGGCATGGTCTTCCCAGAAACTTGTGCACCGAAATCACTGTGTGTACCCTTTCCTGCCATGAGAGCAGCCAAATTCGTACCCTCATAATTAAGTGAAAATGATGCAATCGATCTCCGACTCTCCCTCTCAACAAGCATGGCATATGCTTTGTTAATAGTAGGTGTAGGTTCAACCATTAAAATTTGACTACGTGACTGATCATAATTCTCATTTATCCCCATTAGAAACTGCATCAGTTTTTGCCTCTCCAAATGTAAAGAAAATTCCTTAGAATTAGGGCACTGACAAGATGGAGGCACTATACTAGCAAATTCATCCCACAAATTTCGCAGTTTAGAGAAATAACTAGGAATTGAATCAGTACCTTGAACTGTAGTAGCAATTGCCTTATGCAATTGATAGATCCGCGAAGCATTTACCTTATCAAAACGCTCCCGGAGATCTTCCTAAACTGCTCGTGCACTAGTTGCATAGACTATACCAGTATGCAAATCCTGAGTAACAGAACTCATGATCCAACCCTGAACAATTGCGTTACACCTCTCTCATTGATGACTTAACGCTGCACCGAAATCCTCTTTTTTCCAGCTACCATCGACAATTCCAAGCTTGTTCTTCCCAAGCAATTGAATTCGCATAGCCCTGCTCCAAATAGAGTAATTATCGGATCCTGCTAGTTGCATCGGAATAATGGAAGTACCAGTGGTGTCGGAAGGATGTAAAAAAAAGCATGATTGTGATCGAACTTAGCATTCACCATTGACGAAACTCAGCTAAGCTCGAAATTGACCAAATCAGCTTCAATAAACCTCACAAACGTGGGTGTTTAGCTTTGATACCATGTTAAAATACATGCAATTGCTCAAATCAACCACACCATTAATGGATTCTTACAGATGTATTAGAGAGAAGAGAAGAGAGAAGATATATTTCAGAAAGAAGAAGAGTTTTTGTTAACCAACTAATTACAATGAAACCTTGATTTATATACATTGTTTTATTCTTTCTAACTGACTAACTAATTGCCTAATTCCGTAACTACCTTTTAACTAATTTTACATACATGATCAAGTGACTCCTATCTCATTAAAATTGTCCGAGCTGACCATTTATGGTGAAAGCGTCAGAATTCATAATTTTGCTGCCAAATTGATCAACATATTCAAGTACAACCTCTTTTAGATCCTTCTTCCACCATTCACCTATGAATCAAATTAACAAAAATATAATTAATTTTATGGAATTATAACGTGCTTGTTTGATAACTAATAATATCTATACGTAGTTACCAAAAATAACCAGAATATTAGCATGAGGATCGGGACAACTACTATACTTCCAGGCTCGGAATAGACCACAATAGCTCCATGAACTGTGGCGCTTTGCCAAACACTAATGGCATGCCACCACAATGTCCATTCCTCGTCATGAGATAATAATGTTAGGTTTTGACGTACAATTGAGCCCGGTTGAATTAGCCATTTGTAATTTGTTTTTGATCCCAAGTATATATCTTCCCCCACGCCTACAACTTTTGGAACAAATAGACACCAAGTTAAAGCAAAATTTTATTAACATATTTTTTAATGTGAGGAGAGTGAATATTACTGAGGTAACAATGTGTCATGGATCGTTTGAACATCATTTTGCAATCAAAATTCAGAATTATCCTTAAAAAATTTATTGTCAAATAATTTGGTTGACCGTAATATATGTGGGGATTTATAGTTCAATTCTGATCTTTGTTGCTTGGTATATCTTCTACAGTAAATTAATGAAAATAGATTTCATTTGTTGAAATTCAATTTTCCTTTGATGAAATTGATATAAAATATAAATGTGTACCAATACATAGTAATGTTGTCATTTCCCTTGTTTTCTACGTCCATGACCAAAGTTTCTCCGGCCCCAACATATATAGTTGGCCCGGAGAATTGTTGGTTGACTGTGAGAATTTTCTTAGATTCACAGAGTCTTTCAAAAGTAACTTCTTCAATCTGGTCATGTATAAATGCAATGCAAGATAAAATTGATTAGTACGTAACAAAGACAAGAATTTTAATAATTACTTGCAAGAAAATGAAGATGGAAACTTACAACAAAATGAGAAACATTATTTTGTGTAGACATAACAAACTGAACCGCGATAAATATGAATAGGCGCAAGCTGTTGTTTATTAATTTCACTTGTTTTTCGTACCTCATAATTTTTTCGTCTTAGGAGTTAAAATGAAATTGGGAGAAAATATATATACGGAGAATGGGATAGTAAAATGTATTGAAAAATAATCTGGAAGATTTGTTAGAATTAACGAAGTGAAATCTTCATTCAATGCAACTAAGAAATGAAGGCATGAATACAATGCTATATATTCACAACTAGGAAGCTTCTAGAATATAACTGAATCTAACTAACTAACCAACTTGATGTGACTGCCTAACTAACTTGACGAAATACAATACAAAATAATTAGCTAACTAACTATCAACTCAATTGACTAATTATCATATTGATCATCCAATTCCAATACTCCCCCTCAAGCTGGATGTATTGAACAGATTCAGAAATTCGAGCTTGTCAATTAGAATGTCATGTTGCACTCTTCCTAGAGCCTTTGTCAATAAATCTGCTTGTTGGTCCTTGGTATGAATGTATGAAGTTTTGATCAACCCCTTTTGTATTCTTTCTCTGATGAAGTGACAGTCTATCTCGATGTGTTTAGTACGTTCATGAAATACTGGATTAACTGCAATTTGTATGGTAGCCTTGCTGTCACAATGAATGTTGGCTGGTCCAATCAATTTCACACCCAATTCTTGAAATAAATTTGTGACCCAAACTACTCAGCTGTTAAAGTAGCTAAACTTCTATACTCTGCCTCTGCTGAAGATCTTGACACTGTGTTTTGTTTCTTTGATTTCCAAGAGATCAAAGAATCACCAAACTTCAAAAGAAACCCAGTGACAGATCTCCTGGTGTTTGGACAAGCAGCCCAATCTGCATCACAAAACCCTGTGAGGGAAAATTTCTTGTCTGCACTCATCAACAATCCCTTGCTAGGTTCTCCCTTAATATATCTTATCACCTTTAGTGCTGCGTCCCAGTGTGAAATTTTTGGTTGCTGCATGAATTGACTTAGGGACTGTACTGCAAAAGCTATATCCAACCTTGTGTTTGTTAGATATAATAACTTTCCTACAAGCCTTTGGTATTGTGTAACATCTGTAAACAAGGCATCACTGTTATTGGTTCCTTCATCAAACTCCACACTGGTCAATTTCATGTTGCATTCCAATGGTGTTGGAGCTGTTTTAGCACCAGCTAGACCAACTTCTGAGATTAGCTCCAGGGCATACTTTCTTTGGTTCATCACTATCCCTTGGTTAGACCTAAGAAACTCAATTCCTAGGAAGTATTTGAGTTCCCTCAAATCTTTGATCTTGAAATTACTGTGCAGTACATGTTTTGTTTCTTCTATCAGAGTGGCATCATTTCCTGTGATAAGTAAATCATCTACATATACTAGTATAATCACTATCCTCTTACCTCTCTTCTTGGTAAACAATGAGTAGTCCAAATGGCTCTGAATATATCCTGAATTGTATAAGGCAGTAGTCAATTTTGCATTCCACTGTCTTGATGCCTGTTTAAGTCCATAAAGAGACTTAACCAACTTACACACCATGTTTTCTCCTTCTAATTTGAACTCCTTAGGCAACTCCATGTACACTTCTTCAAATAGATCCCCTTGTAAAAATGCATTGAATACATCCATTTGGTAAACCATTCAGTGCTCAGCAGCAGCCAATGATATTATTGTCCTAATAGTAACCATTTTCACCACTAGTGAAAAAGTCTCTTGGTAATCTATACCCTCAGTTTGATTGTACCCTTTTGCAACTAATCTTGCTTTAAATCTGTCTATTTCCCCATCAGCTTGGTATTTTATTTTGAACACCCACTTACAACCTATGGTAGACTTCCCTGTTGGTAAACTTACTAACTTCCAGGTACCATTGTCCTCCAAAGCTTTGATTTCCAACTTCATTGCCTCTATCCATCTCTTGTCCTTGATAGCCTCTTCATAATTCTTAGGCTCAACTTCTGTAGAGAACTTAAATAAGTAAGATGCATAACTAGGAGAAATATCCTGATATGAGAGATACCTTCCTAGTGAATAAGGATGAGTTGTGTCCGATAGTTGAGTCACATAATCTTTCATCCAGATTGGTGGATTAGAGGTTCTAACAGACTGTCTAGTTCTTGTATGAACATTAGCTGGGACATGAGCCAAATCATTCCCATCACCAGGACCATGTTGACCAAGCTCAACAGTTACTTCAGGTTATGTTGCATGCAGATCATCACCATGCATGTCAATCTTAGGAAATACCTCCTCATGAAGTGATTCATGTATTTGAGGTATCACAATATCTTCGAAATCATCATTGTGATACAGATCAATCTTTGGAAATAATGGAAGCTCTTTGGTAACCATAGTTTTAAAAGGAAATATGTGCTCCTTAAAAACCACATCCCTGCTGATTATCATTTTCTTCTGACTCAAACTGTACATGACATACCCTTTTTGAGTGACTGAGTGCCCCAAAAACACACAAGCATCTACTCTTGGAGAAAACTTGTCACCTCTAGGCAATCTAGTAACATAACCCAAACATCCTAGTGTTCTCAAGTGATCAAGTTTGGCATTGACCTTGTGAAACACTTCATATGGTGTCTTTCCTCCCAAAACTGGTGTAGGCAATCTATTAATTAAGTACACAGCTGCAAGAACACATTCTCCCCAGAACTTAATAGGAATATGGCCATGAAATCTAAGAGCCCTTGCCACCTCAAGTACATGTCTATGCTTACGTTCAGCCACCCTATTTTGTTGTGAAGTATAGGAACAACTGCTTTCATGAACAATACCATGAGAACTGAGTAGTGCATTGCAGTCATTGTTGAAGAATTCAGCTCCATTATCATATCTCAACCTCTTAACAGTTGCATTGAATTGTGTCTTGACAAGGATAATAAAAGATTGCAAAATTGAAAACATATCACTTTTCAATCTTAACAAATATATCCAAGTCATTCTGGATTTGTCATCAACAATAGTCAAGAAAAATCTATATCCATTATGAGTAACAACTTTATATGGTCCCAAACATCCAAATGTATCAACTCAAAAACACTACTAGTTTTAGACAAACTCAAAGGAAAAGGTAATCTAGTCTGCTTTGCAAGTGGGCAAACTGGACAATCTTTGCAAATGTCATCTGTATCACTAAATGACAGAGGTAATTGACTTAGCACCTTAGCTGAATGATGGCCCATTCTGTTATGCCACAACATTTTATTCATCAACACTTCACTCTGTGTCATCAATAATGTCTCATCATTCTTGCCTCCTTCATGTGGTGGTTGACTGGGAAAGTAGTATAGCCCATCTAGTTCCCTACCAATCCCCTTCACCTTCCCATTTGAGAGGTCCTGAAAGACAACAAACTCAGGCAAAAAATTAACTGAACAATTCATTTGCCTGGTCAACTGTGCTACTGAGAGCAAATCAAATTTGAAAGCAGGAACCACCAATACATTTTCTAATGTATCACCAGCATGTGTTGTATAATTTCCAATGTGTGTGACTGAAGTGGTCTCTCCATTAGGCAAGTGCACTCTCCTATCCATACCACTCATGTCATTGGAAATAGAACTTAATCTATTTAGCTTAGAAGTCATGTGACAAGTAGCCCCTGAATTCACTATCCAACTGTCCTTATCTACACCAGTAAATAATGCTTTAGTGATAGGACCAGTTATACCTGCCATGTTTGCACTATTGACTCCTGAAGATGTTGCCTCTTCCTTATCCAGCATGTGTAAGAGCCTTTGGTATTGTCGTGGAGTATAAGTGTGTTGAGCTGCTATAGATGGTGCCTCTTGTGATCCCTGTGACTGAGAAACTGCAGGTTTATGTAGTGGAGCAAAACCATCTCGTACTGGATCAACTCGTACTTGATTTGCTGCTCCCTGATATTGCCTAACAGTGTTTTGCATTCCCTGCATTTGTCCTGTCATACCTTGATCATATCCAGATCCAGGCCTTTCAAGTGGTGGCTTCTTTTTGAATTTCCAATCAAGAGGGTAACCATTTAACTTGAAACAATCAAGCTTAACATGCCCATGCAATTTACAGTAATCACAGATTTGATCCCAATTCTTCTTCTTTGTTTGAGGAAATCTCACATTCCTCTTAATATGTTGTCCCTTCCCTGCATATAGTGCTGTTGATTCCAGCATGTCCTTTCTAGAGTGAGTGCCTGCAGTAGCCCTTTGGCTTTCATCTGCCATTATCATGGCATATGCCTTATTAACATTAGGCAATGGGCTCATCATTAGAATCTGACTTCTCGCTTGACAAAAAACTTCACTCAGTCCCATCAAAAATGCAAATAACCTCAGGTAAGCCAAATGATCTATGTAGCTTCTCGATTTATCACAGTCACATGATGGTGGGGGCATAGAAGCATCAAATTCATCCCATAACAGTCTCATTTTCGTATAATATCCAGAAACAGTCAAGTTACCTTGATGTATTGTACAGATCTCTCTATGCAACTGGTAGATCCTAGATCCATCAACCTTGTTGAATCGATCCTTGAGATCCCTCCACACCTCAGCTGCATCATCAGCGTATACAATTCCACTTAGCAATTCTTTCGAAACAGTGTTCATGATCCATGCTAGTACAAAACAATTGCACTTCTCCCATTGTTCCTCCAATTCCATCTTGTAATCACTCCTTTTACATGTTCCCAACACAAAACCCAATTTACTTTTTGCACGAAGATTGATGAGCATAGATCTGCTCCAAAGAGAATAGTTCTTTGTACCAGTGAGTTGTACTGTGGTCAGTATAGTCGCAGGAGTATCAGATGGATGAAGATACAATGGGTGATTTCCTTTCTTCTCAATGGAATCAAGCGTATCTGCTTGCATCACGGTCGCATTTCCAGTCGCATCTAATTCTCCAGTAGTCATCTCGTCCTCTGCTTCCACAAAGGATCTTCAATGGCGGAAAAGAAGAACTGCAGTTGAATTGAATCTCAATTCACAGCTCTGATACCATATTGAAAAATAATCTGGAAGATTTGTTAGAATTAACGAAGTGAAATCTTCATTCAATGCAACTAAGAAATGAAGGCATGAATACAATGCTATATATGCACAACTAGGAAGCTTCTAGAATATAACTGAATCTAACTAACTAACCAACTTGATGTGACTGCCTAACTAACTTGACGAAATACAATACGGTATAATTAGCTAACTAACTATCAACTCAATTGACTAATTATCATATTGATCATCCAATTCCAATAAAATGAACTGATAATTAGAAGTTGGATTTGAAAGTAAAATTACAACAAATTAAAGTTTTAATTAACCTGCAAGGAGGAATATATAGCTCTATTAACCCATTGCTTTTGTTCATACTACTAACGTATGTACCTAGTTAACTTTCTAATTTAGAAAAGCAAAATTAACTTCAATTTAATTTTTTATCTAAGTTCAAACTGCAGAAAATTCTCTTTTTTAGGATTAAAAAAAATCTTATTCATTGCGCCACACTTTATGTGATAGATAAATTTACTAATTTTGCGAAAAAAGTTCGATAATGTTTAAATAATATGTGAGCTACATAAGTAGATAAAATTGATTTAAAGCAATAACTTCAAATGTTTGATCATTACACAAATAGTCGATCGGTTCACTTTTACTTTATTCTAGCCGGTATACTTAAACACATATATAATTATTAAAAAAAAATTGTTGCATATAATATTTCTTGAAATTTTCGTCCATAAAATGAGTATGAAACGATAGGAACACATTTCGACTTGTATAAACGTTATGGCATTAGTTAGAGACGTATTTATGCTTCCAATTATCACCACAAAGATTAATTTCGACTGACAATATTTTTTATGGCAAAATTATCCATTGCAAAATTGATGGAATGTGTCAATGGGTAAAATAAAATTTAAAAATTTGAAAAAAGGCTCGAATATGTTATCGAATTTTGAAAAAAGATTTACTTATGTCATCTGTTAAAAGTTTGGCTTATCTATGTCATTTTTGTTTGAGAAAAGGCTAATTCATGTCATTATTTTGTTAACTGAAATCACATATTGAGCCAAAATATTAACGGATGACATAAATAAGTTTTTTCTCAAAGTTTAATGACATGCATGTTTGAGCGTTCTCCTTTTTTTTAAAAGTGATTTAATTACATAATTGTCCATTCTCCTAAATAATATGTTTTCAATAACAAGTATTGAATCACACAAAATAAATTGCAACTGTAAATTAATTACGCTGATTAAGGAAACCATGAAATTGCAAGAACAAATAAATTAATATGCTATTTTTCTTAATTTTGGATAATCTGTGCAATTACCAGCACCCCCCACACAAAATTATAATCCCAGTAACCATCTCGAGCATTATTCTTATTTCCAAATTTATACATTGCACAAATATTTTTTTTGGTACAATATTCCTCTTTATTCATACTCATATTTTATCAACTTAATGATGTATATGTCATCAATTCTAATGTCCTAATTTGTAAAATGAGTATTTATTTGTAACCGATTTTTATACAGAGAGATAAATAATATCTTTACTAGGGACATTAAATTATTTTAACAAACATGTTAAAAATCTCATTATTTAAATTAAGGATTTATATGCATTTAAAAACTA